TCTTGGCTCACTGCAACCTCCACCTCCCAGGATCAAGCGATTCTCCTGCCTTAGCCTCCTGCCACCATGCCCAGCTAATTTTTATATCTTTAGTAGAGATGAGTTTCACTCTGTTGGCCAGGCTGGTTTCAAATTCCTGACCCCAAGTGATCCACCTGCCTTGGCCTCCCAAAGTGCTGGGATTACAGACATGAGCCACCACTCCTGGCCAGGTAATGGGATTTTGATGAGCGAGTACATCTCTTGCTCTCCCACAGTGTTCAAACACCCCAGCACTCTAAGCCCTGTTTCTTTATGAACAGCAAATCCATTTTCCCAAAATGGCCCTCCCTCCATGAGCCTTGGCAACAGGGGACTCATGGGTCTCAGATTCTGTATCATCTCCCCGCTTGGGTGTGTTACGCTCTGAACGTTCTGCTCCTTGAGCTATTGTTCAGCTGTCCATAGGGCTGTCCAGGCCACCGTCCCTTCCTTGGTTCCTGCCTCCACATGGCAGCCTTCATGGAGCCAATTCAGCTCTGATCTACAGAACCCCCTCACCTTCAATCTACAGGATCCACTCCTTCAGCAGAGGAGTTGGGCCCCCGGTGACACAATTCTTTCGTATACCCAGAGCATGTGGATCTGACTCGGAGGAAGCTGCAGAGGGGAGGGTCCTATAAAATTGCATGTCCTCCCAACATCCCGCCAATAGCCTCCCAGCTGCCCACTCTACCAGATGTCTCCAGCCATCAGAATATTCCAGAGAAGTTAAGAGATCGTTCTGCTCAGAACACATAGCAGAGCAGCAACTAAAGCCTTTCTGATGAATGAGCCCTAAAAAAAAAATCAAAATAGCAATTGTACATGTTATCATTCATGGAAAAAGAATGCAGTTTTCATTAACCTCAACCTCAAATATTTGCCTGTGTTGTCTTCTAAACAAAGTCAATGTAAACCTGGTGTTGCGATTGACGTGTAGGATACAGATCTCCGGAAGTGATTCATTTACCATATACCATCCATACCTGAAATAGTGTGATCCACTTATGAGGCCACCTTTAGGAGTGACCCTGATAAAGAAGAGACCAGTAAGGCAGGAGAGGCATGTGCAAGCCATGCGGTTCAGCCCCTATGGAACAGATGGGAACAGTTGTCTACAAGAAGATGGGGAATGGATAGGCACTTGTGGTCTGAGTGTTGGGTGCACTGTCACAAAGAGAGAAGAGAGATGAAACCAACAAAAGATTGTTAGGTGAAGTCAGATTTTGCCGCGGTACAATAACGTACCTTTTGACAAGCAGATTAACTTTATAACTTTTCCCAGTGCCTCAAGACTTTAAAAGGAAAGAGTGGGTATTACATAATCAATACAGTTCAAGTATTTGTCCATTCACTTAACAAATAATTACTATGTGCCAGATGCTGTTCTAGGTGCTGGAATTATAAAAATAATAATAAAAAAACACAACAGACTAAAATCCCCCTGACCTCGAGAACTCAATATTCTTGTGTCAAAATCACAAAATCTAAACATAGGTTACATTTTATGTCTTTTGTGAGGAATGCTCAGAACGATGTATTAGAGCACATTGCTTTAGCTATGATGCTATTCTAGAATGGGCACCGAATGAAATAATTCTGCTCGATATTTTCAGCTTGGCCTTTTAATCATGCAAAAGAGAGTAAAAGGTCGCATGGGTGCCCAGCAGGCTCCACAAAGAATTCCACCCACCCATTTGTTGAAGCTGAGTGGTATCTATGTGAATCTTCATTATACCATTCTACCTTTCTGTGTAGGTTAGAAATTTTCTATTATAAAAGTAATTTCCTAAAAAAAAAAAAAAAAAAAGAAACCCAGCAATTACTCTGTGTGGGCATAGGAGGCATCTTGAACTCAAGGGTTTCCCAGTATTTGAAAGCTCAGTGGCTTAAGCACAAATGAATAACCATCCATCAGAAATGCTCTATAAATAATTTCTGTGTTAAATAAGAAGTTGAAATGAATGACCTTAGGTTCCTTTGGATACTGAGATTCAATATTCTAGTGAAAGATCTAAATTACAGTTGGAACAAACAAACATAGACTTGGCTTAATTCCAGAGATAGTGCATATGGATTGGGCTCTACTTACTCACTAATGCTAACCAAATGTCATGAAACTGAGTACTGATTCTCAGTTTTGTCTAAGCACTTAATGATCATTTTCATAATTATTTCACTGTATTCACTGTAAATCTGTTCTTCTTTGTTTCCAAAGATAAAAAATGCGTAAGCTAAAATAGATGTTTAAAGCTATTGTATTTTGTGAATATGAATATTTTATGAATATTTTAGGATCTTCCTCTTGAATCTTAGCCTTGTGAAAAATATCTTCCAAACAGTGTTCATTTTCCCAGAAAGCACCACATATAACCTCTTCATCTGCAGCCAATTTAGGTGTACTCCCGGCATGGTGCCCTAATTACACCTTTGTTATCCATTATCAGATGGCTCCCCTCATCAGCCAAGCCTGCGACCTTCTCCTGGCTCATTTAAAACGCTATGGAGATTCTGGGGATGCATTCGACATCCAGAGGTAAGGCTGCTGCATTACAGATGAGAAATCGCATTTTTGAATCGCTGCTTCTTGTAACTGTCCATAATTGCTGGACAATTACCTTGGGACTAGCAAACTGTGGAAACACTAGAAGCTCATAAAAGCATGGGTGGACTAATAAGAAGAAAAGAAACCCACTTCACATGGGAAAGAAATGTGAGCAGAGCCAGGGGACGTGTGGCCTGTTGAATCTGTGGATGGATCCAACCTCTGACCTCCACAGAACCAGGCACAAACAGGACAGGCCTGGGAGGGACAGGGCCCAGGGGGAAGAAGGTTCAGGCATTTTCATGTCAAGAAAAATTGTGCTGCACCTCAGCCCAGAAGCCATGACTTAATGGTGGACACCAAATTTAAATAACTGATTATCTGGCTTTTCATCATTTTATAACTAAAAGGTTTTTATTAAAAAAAAAAAAAAAATACCTTTAGTCTAAGCCTGTCCAGCCCACAGCCTGTGGGCCACAAGGAGCCTAGGGCAGTGTTAATGCAGTCCAACACAAATTTGTAAACTTTCTGAGTTTTTTTTTTGTGATTTTCCTTTTCTCATCAGCCATCGTTAGTGTTACTGTATTTTATGTGTGGCCCAAGACAATTCTCCTTCTTCCACTGTGGCCCAGGCAAGCCAAGAGACTGGCCACCTTTGCTTTAGTCATTTTATGCCATCATGGCTTACAGCAGATAAAAAATAAAGTAGGATGGTGAATCAGCCAGAAAGGGACTCATCCTTATCATTGCTAATGAAATAATAACAGAATCATGGCCAACACTGGTATTGCACCAGTTTACACAGTCTTTTCATCCACATTTTCTCTGATTATTATAGGATGCGTGAGTTGGCTAAAAATAAGGTGGACTCATAAGCTATAAAAGCAAAGTAAATAGCCCTTAAGACCCTTAAATCTTCAGCCGTCAAGATCAGATGAAATCAGTCAGTAGTCTCATTCTTGTTTTCACTCTAGCAGGGAAATGTGCAATCAATTGTAGAAATGTTTTCAATAAAAGCATTCAGAATTGAAAAAGTCATCTGGAAATGTCATATATCCCTTCATGATAAGTTAGTGGTTATAGACCTTACATACAAGAGGAGTTAAGTGTGTGTCTACATTGAGAACAATAATAGGCCTTTTAATTATTAAAAGATATTACTAACCCAGTTTTTAGCTTTTTGGAAAAGAATTTAATCTAACTACTCCTATAAGAAAAAGGAATAATTCGAGTTTAAAATGGCCTTTTAAGGGACAGGTTTCCTATAGCCTAAGAGGTTAAATTTTCTGGAGCTCCTGGCAGACACGTTTCCTTCTGTTTGTTTCTAGAGTGCAGTGTGTGTTTTCTGTAATAATATACAGATGTTTGTGAAGCCTGCCTTAAAGTTTGTCCTGTATTTATTTGAGTGTGAAGAGCCCTTGCTTTTTGTTTGTTGCTGTAAAGAAAACTATAAAATCATTAAGAGGAAGAGGGAGACAAAGTTAATAAAACTAGATAATTAGGTTGTTAATCCATCAATGACAATTTGATGTCTATCAATTAATCATTAGATTCTGGCCTGAGCTGGACTGTGCAGAGCTTTGGGTAAAGCATGTAGGCATTGGTTCACCTGTCTGCTCTCCTTCCCAGGGAGGAAAATGTAAAGTGTCCTTCTCAGTACTTGGTTGTGTTCTGGTCGAGCACGGCTGCCTGAAGCCTGAAGGTGGAAGAGGGGGTGCCCTCCTCCTCTCCCGGGTCTTTGTTTAGCTGCCAGGTCTTCGTGTCTCCTCCCGCGCTCTGCTGTCGCTGCTCAGAGTGTCCCCTCTCCCCCCACCTCACCACAGATCTGCAGAAGCTCCTCCGATGGGCATACCTGCAGGCGAGGCGAGTCAGTGTAGGCAGATCCTCTGGAGGGGACATTGCGAGTAGCCCCTGCCAGAGTCCTTTCAAATCCCTGTGTTCCCATCTGCTGTAGGTGCTACTGCTGTTACGCCACAGACGTGGTTGCCAGCGTCGCCTTCGGCACCCCGGTGGACTCCCAGCAGGCCCCTGAGGATCCCTTTGTGAAACACTGCAAGCGTTTCTTCGAATTCTGCATCCCTAGACCTATCCTGGTTTTACTCTGTAAGTGCTGCTGCAGCCCAGGGAAGTGCAATGACCCTAGTAAATTGGGCAGACCCCATGACACCTGGGGCGGCTTTTGGGGCTCTGCCTCTGCCACTGGGAAAGGGACTCGGGGTGTTCCCCTGCAGAGGCTTTGTCTTATGGAGCCACCAGTTTCCTCTTGTCACCTGCCTAGGGCCACTTACTACCAATGCTGTACATAACCCTGGCATTAGCAGTAAGTGGTCCCACAGCCATGGTGAGAACAGTGGGGACACACCGTGTTAGGCACTGGGTGTGCATTGCCTCGCTTAGTCCCGGTAATCACCCCATGAGAAAAATATTCTTGTCCCCATTTTTCAGGTGACAGACCAAGAAAGGCTGGGCTGAGACCGGAACCCAAAGCCTTTCATTTCCTAGGGCATATTTCTTTCCTCCACCAAAATCCTCTCCAAAAGACCTCTCCACTTGAAGCCCAACACATAGAAATCCTGTGTGGTGGATGAGTAGTTGGCTACCCATTGCTACGGGGACCAGTCTCTTCATTTTATTTTAGTTGTAGATGTGAGGTTTTGCCCTCTGGCCAATTCTAGTATCTTCTTGCTTTTATGGGAGCATTGACGTTTTGTTACGATTGTTACCGATTATTGCCACGATTTCTAGCCATTCTGCTGGGCTGGCAAGTTCCATTCATTCCTTGACCAGTTTCATTCCCATTTCTGAGCCAATGTCCGTGGGAGCCCCTGTTGCCCCTACCAGCTCTGCTCTGAAATCGAGGGCAGAGCCACTGAGCGTCTAGCAGTCTCTTCCTTCACCCTTTTTGCCACTCCTGGAGGCTGCCCAGGCTGCGTCTGCCCCTTGTGCCTCAACCACGGCCCAGGCCCGTGGGGCAGGTGGCTTCATTTCGCCATCCCTTCTACTCCTCCTCTCTACCTCTGCAGGGCCCTCCTGCTGCCATGTCGTGTTGGTTCGAGCTCTTGCTCTTGAAAATGGGCCCGCGCATTCTGAGAGCGCATGTGTTTGCAGCTGTTCTCCCCAGCTCAGTTCCTGTAGAGCCCAATGCAGGGTGCACCCACCATGGAAACCAAGAAGGTGAACCCAGCCAGCGCCCCGCTCCAGGGGAGGTGAAGGGTCCCTGATGCTGGCAGCCCAGTCCCCAACACATGGCAGCAAGGGCCCATGCTGTACGTGGGGCCCGGCAAGGGAGGCACCCACAGCAGCGGCTCCTGGAAGCAATTCAGGAGGTCGCTGGGGACAGTTATCCAGAGGAAAAAAAATTCAAATGACCAGAAAGTTTGTAAAAAGTAAATCAGCTTCTACCACTTGCTAAGGCTTGAAACAGCCTGTAATCCTTTCTCTCTTGATGAAGTACAAAGACCTTGGGCTCTCATCCCCAGGACCTGAAACGTTAATTTATAAGGATGAGCTTGACCTCTAGAGGGCCAGATGGAAGTGCAGACTCGATTAATTGCACAGATGTTTATTGAGTGCTTACTATGTGCCAGGAATGGTGAGGAGTCCCGAGAGGGAGCAAGACATCACCCCTGCTCTTAGAAGCAGCAGTGCGGCGGGGAGGGCAGAACTCCAAACGACTCCGATTCCAGGCCTGTGTTTGCTTCCTGGGAACAGGCATCTAATGGCCCTGGCTTATTATCACCCCCTTCTCAATGCCACTTCTGTTTTTCTCTTTCAAGTATCATTTCCATCCATAATGGTCCCACTGGCCCGGATTTTGCCCAATAAGAACCGAGATGAACTGAATGGCTTTTTTAACAAACTCATTAGGAATGTGATTGCCTTGCGGGACCAGCAAGCTGCCGAAGAGGTAACGTATTTTAATAGGACACAGCCTTGAAATGGAATGGAGCCGACTCCGGCATCACTGTCTCTGTTCTTCCTCTTCTCTCCCAACCCCGCACATCACACCATGCTGTCCTTCAGCAGTCCACCACTTACGGCTTCCAGGGACAGTGGAGAGAACAGAGGAAGGTTGAGGAAGGTCAGACAAGAAAGGGTGGGTGGGAGGCAGAGAGGAGAAGCCTAGAGCAATGTGTACGTCCTCTGACATGGACGGGTAGAATTAAAGCTGCCCCCAAAACTCTCTCTCTAGTGCCAGCATCACCCCAAGCACAGGTGAGAGCAGCGTAGAAGAATTTTCTAGGTAAATGTGCCCACATGCAATTTTTATGAGCATATTCTTTGTATTGAAAACCCAGCAAGATGGAGCTTTCCAGCATGAACAGCATGCTTATTAGACAGTTCGGCAGCTGTCAGTCAACCCCACACTCCCGCTGAGCATGGAGGGTGTTGCTACAAAATTCATGGTTGAGGGCCCACTGGACTCCTTAGCACGATTCATGTGAGACCCAGCACGTTCTTTCCTCCTTGCGGATCTGCACGATGCTTGGCACACAGTAGGAATCGAGTAAATATTTGTTGATTGAACCTGGCTAAAAATAGAGGAGTTTTCTGTGGGAAGAAAGGTCATTTCAATACTGGATATGCGTATGCATGTGTAAATCTGTGCTTTAAGGGCCTTGTGGCGTTAAAGAAAGTTACTAAAAAGGAAAAACAGGGCTGAAATGGCTTTTCCTTAGTTGACTCGCACAAGATGCAAGTTTAAAAGGGTTGTTTCAAAGACTGGGTGGGTGGCTCAGAGGAATTGGCGAGGTCCAATTGTTAAGGCATTGGCCTGGAACGAAATCAGGGGTCAATTAGTGGCTTGATATACTGAGCAGCCTTGGGCAGCGACCGTGTCCTTTGCAGCTTCGCACCCTGAGAACTGTGCAGCACATGTGTCTAGATGCAGAAGGCACGGGAAGGTACACGCAGGCTTACAACCCCTCGGCCCGCACCGCTGTGAACTCAACTCACATACCCTTGGAGGTGTGGGAGGAAGGCAGCTAAGGCCAGTATCCCTGGCTGAGCTCTGAGGCTTAAAAGGACAGAACATTCTGATCCAGGTTCATGCTTCTCAGCAGAGGGAGGATGCAGCCAGGAGGAGGAGGGATAAAGAAACAACCATTTTTGGCTGGGCGTGTGGCTCACATCCATAATCCCAGCACTTTGGGAGGCTGAGGCGGGTGGATCACCTGAGGTCAGGAGTTCGAGACCAACCTGACAAATATGGAGAAACCCCATCTCTACTAAAAATATAAAATTAGCCTGGTGTGGTGGTGCATGCCTATAATCGCAGCTATTTGGGAGGCTGAGGCAGGAGAATCGCTTGAATCTGGGAGGCAGAGGTTTCAGTGAACCGAGATTGTGCCATTGCACTCCAGCCTTGGCAACAAGAGAGAAACTGCTTCTCAAAAAATAAAATAAGAACCATTTTCAACCCTCAGCATTGCTCCGAAGGGCCACCCTTTGAGAGCGTTGACACACACACACACACACACACACACACACACACACACACACACAATCCCCTAGCCTGGCTATGGAATCAGGCTAAAAATTTTAAAACTGTTGCACTGAATGACTTACTAAGAGGTGAGAGGTTATTAAAGATCCAATTACTGGGATTGCCTAGAGCTTTTCCTTTTATAAACTCTAGTGCTGTTTGTTTCAAATAATGAGTTGATCTGAGAAAAACCTCCCAACCACAAATCCAGGACGGCCATGTCAAGACAGAGCTATACGGTTACTAAGAAAACTTGCTTTAAAACCATCTAAAGTCTGTATACATTCCATCAAGCAGATGTGTGTTTGCGCAGTGAAAATGCGGCACAGATGTTAAGAGGTAAATATTTTTCTAAGCTCTAGCCGATGGGTGGATTAGACACCTACATCTATCAGGGTGCGTATTTTTCTTGGATAGGACCATAAACCAGCACCATTTCAGTCCTCAATGGGCAGTGTTCAGATAGCCTCCCTGATGCAGTGTGAATAAAAGAAACCCATCCACACTGATGTTCCTCTCCAGCGCACAGGCCCTAGAGAGTGGCCTTTCCTCTGGCCTCTGTAGCTGGAAGTTAAGACCGATTTCTGCAAGACTCTGACAGCCCTTTAGCAGCCTGTCTGGGCTGGAATAAGAGGAAAGGATGCTGGCTGCAGTTTTGCCCATAGAAAAATGGCCGGTGTAAGCCATGCGCAGTGGCTCACGCCTGTAATCCCAGCACTTTGGGAGGTTGAGGCAGGTGGATCACTAAGTCAGAAATTTGAGACCAGCCTGATCAACATGGAGAGACCCCGTCTCTAATAAAAATAGAAAAATTAGTCAGGTATGATGGCTCATACCTGTAATCTCAGCTACTCGGGAGGCTGAGGCAGGAGAATTGTTTGAACCTAGGAGGCGGAGGTTGCAGTGAGCTGAGATCGTGCCACTGCACTCTGGCCTGGAAACAGAGCAAGACTCCATTTCAAAAAAAAATACCCAGTGTAGAGGTGGCTATGCCCTCTTTCCCATCATTACCCCTACACCACCTCAGCAAAGCCATAGCCAAGCCTCAGGGACCAGAATGGTATCACACCCTGAGGAGTTTCAGAGGTACTGGCAGAGAGGTCTGGGCATGCTCTGGGGTCCTGTGCTGGTGTCCCAGAGCTGAGGGAGCAGAGGATGTTCACTTCCCTTGTGTGCCATCTTGCCTGGCCCTACCCCAGCTCTGCTCCATGGGAGCAGGGCCAGCAGTGGGACCACACCAGCTGCCCAGATGTTGACCAAGCAGCAGGATGGCAACTGGGGAACGCCAGCCCTTGAGGATGCCATTTGAAAATGAGAACAAGCAGGGCCTGGGTGGAATGAGGCCGGCAACTACCCCTGACCCTTCACCATTTCTCAGCTATGAGAACCCAGCAGGCCGATGGGAAGCTGAGGACTTGCTTCCTTAGCCTCAAGGTCTGTGGCGCCCATAGCCTTCACCTTGAGCACTGCTAGGATCCCAGTAGGCACCGTCCAAAATCACAAGGCTGGGGTGCAGTGGAGCTGCAAAGGCATCAGCATCCAGGACTCCCGCTCTAAATAGCATACATTTGTCATCAAACTCAACACACGCTTCCTCCAATGCACATGCTGCATTACATTTTTGTCTGTTGAGTCATGGATTGCACACCTCACGTGTGCTCAGCACAAAACTGGCATGTTGTTGAGGGTGGGGTCCCGCCCTGGAGTTGCTTATAATCTTACGGAGGAGAAAAAGCAACCACACGTGAAACGACAAGTCTTAAAAGATGGAATCAGACGCTCAGGTGTGTGGCATAGATTATGAATGCAATTGAAATTCAGAAGCTGATGAATTGAGAAAATGCTGCCACTAGCACAGTACTGTGAATGAAATTCAAATATTTTCCTGTTGGTGTGAATGAAATTCTAATATTTCCCTGTTGGTGGTTCTGATACTCTCCTTTTGCCATTTTAGTCCCATAAGCTTCAGAAAACAGAAATGTGCCGGTTGTCCTTCATGACATCAAAGAGCGTTTCAAAGGAGGATATTCTAGGAATGCGCTCTGTTAACACAAAAACAGTTTAGAAACACTCCTATTGTTACAATTAGTAGTAGTGAAAATATAAAGAATATGCAAATGCCTGATAAAAAGGGTGGAGGAAGAAAGCTCTACTTAAATGGGGGCAGGGGATTACAGAGAAAAAGAGGGAAGCAATGTGAAGATCTGATATGAAGGCTAGCGGATACAGAAGGCAAAGCCTAGAGACTTTGAAGACAGGCGTCATCAAACTAGTCCCCTCCCCTCGCCCCCACCTTTGTTAACTTTCTACCGTGTGAGAAAAACTTGTGGCTGCCCATCCAAGCCCTACGTTGCACATAAGTGAGCAGTACAGCACGTGCTTGGCTTTCAATCTATATGATGTTTTCATTGTTTTATTTTTCCAAAACGAACCACCAACCAACAGTACAAAATGTATAAAGTAAAAAATAAAAGCCCCCTCCTGGTGTTCCTACCTCCTCCAGCTCATTGTGAACTGTCGGGTGGGGATGTTGCTAAAAATTCTCTATGCATAGACAGATATACATGATCATATATATATAGTACATTTGCTGTTTTTGCAGAAATGAGAGCCACTGTGCATACTGTTCCATGACCTGCTTTGGTTTTTATTTTATTTTATTTTTATTTTAAGACAGAGTCTCGCTGTGTCACCCAGGCTGGAGTGCAGTGGCGCAATAGCTCACTGCAACCTCCGCCTCCCGGGTTCCAGCGATTCTCCTGCCTCAGCCTCCCAGGTAGCTAGGACTACAGGCATGTGCCAATACGCCTGGCTAATTTTTTGCGTGTGTATTTTTAGTAGAGACGGGGTTTCACTATGTTGGCCAGGCTGGTCTTAAACTCCTGACTTGTGATCCTCTCGCCTCGGCCTCCCAAAGGGTTGCTTTGTTTTTCTTAACAAAGCGGCTCAATGACTTTCAAATCAGCCCGGATAGAATGGCCTCTGCCTTGCTCAGGGCAGCATCCTACACTGCTCTTCACTGCCCCAGAATCTGCCTGACCAGTGCTATACTGAGGGACATTCAGGTGGCTTCCAGGCTCTCACCATCCCAGATAACTCAGCAGTGAGGAACCTTGGTTCATACTGAGCATTTCAAAAGCTAACCTCTGTATCTTCCTCCTTTGTTCTCCAAGAAGCCTCACTCTTAATGACTGACTGCAAGGCCAAAATGTGCATTTTTCTGCTTGTGTCCCTTAGAGGCGGAGAGACTTCCTCCAAATGGTCCTGGATGCCCGACATTCTGCAAGTCCCGTGGCCGTGCAAGACTTTGACATTGTCAGAGACGTCTTCTCCTTTACTGAGTGCAAGCCGAACCCTTCCCGGCAACACCAGCCCAGAGCCATGGCCAGGCCTTTGACTGTGGATGAGATTGTGGGCCAGGCCTTCATCTTCCTCATCGCTGGCTATGAAATTGTCACCAACACACTTTCTTTTGCCACCTACCTACTGGCCATCCACCCCGCCTGCCAAGAGAAGCTTCTGAGAGAAGTGGACCTTTTTAAGGAGAAACACGTGAGTACAAATTGGGTCTAGTTGCTCATGGGATATCCATAGGACTATTGATTTTGTGTTTGTGGAAGTGAAACTTGTTTTTAATAACTTGCTAATATCACATTCTAAGCTTGTAAGATGAAATAGGGTCTTTGTTCAGCTTCTCCCGCTCTCCGGGTTAGCAAGTAAAATGGAATGTTGAGAACAACCACCACAACAGAAATACACGTTGTGTGTATACCTTCACTGTCTGGGGTAGACCATGAAGCCAGGCCTGGCTCGAGGAAGCTACAGAGGTCCAGGAAAGAGTCAGGCCCAAAGGGCAGGGATTGGGAAGGAGTTATGGCTTCCCAATGTCTGACTTGGAGGGAGGCAGATGTGAGCCAGAAAAAAGAGCCACGCTGGAGGCCAGGTGCAGTGGCTCACGCCTTTAATCCCAGCACTTTGGGAGGCCCAGGCGGGCGGATCACAAGGTCAAGAGATTGAGACCATCCTGGCCAACATGATGAAACCCATCTCTACTAAAAATACAGAAATTAGCCCAGCATGGTGGCACGTGCCTCTGGTCCCAGCTACTCGGGAGGCTGAGGCAGGAGAATTGCTTGAACCCAGGAGGTGGAGGTTGCAGTGAGCCGAGATCGCGCCACTGCACTCCAGCCTGGGAAACAGAGCAAGACTCCATCTCAAAAAAAAAAAAAAAAAAAAACGAGAGAGAGAGAGAGCCAAGCTGGAAGGCAGGAGGGGACGAAAGGACAGGCCAAGCTGGAGCCAAACTGAAGACCAGGGGCTGAGGAGGAGGCTCACAAATGGAATAAGGGAAGATGGGGCCCATCAGCGCCCAGGCCAAATTCTGGGCATTTCTTCTAGATGAGGCCCCCTTGGTCACTTGTAGCGGATATAACAAGGGTGCTGAGCAAGGCTACTTTATCACCTCACTTTTTCCCCTGGATGCTTGTATGGGTATAACTTTGACTCATGAGCTGTTAAAGAGATTCATTTTTAAAATCTGTGCTCTCAAAGGAAAACTACCACAATGGAATCCTTGCTATTACATTCTGATATAATTGCTATTACATTCACAGTTTTGGAAGGTGGTCTATTCTGTTACTGGAACAATTTTAAAAAGTTTCAATTAACTGAAGACTACTTCCCAAGAAATTCTGCTTCTTTATCCTACTGGGGAAGTAGAGGCAAAGTTAGTGTCTCTTCTTCACAGCAGTTTTTAAATATTTGAAAACTGCATTCACTGTGTTACTAATTAATTGTCTCAACTTTAGGCTCAACATGAGCTTAGGGTCAACTTCAGGTTCTAAGCAGTTATGCCAACTGCCAACCTGGGCCTTTCCAAACGCTGCTTATACAATTGATTTACTGAGCCTAGACACAAGAGTTTATATTTATCCTTATTACTGTTCAAGTCAGTCAAAATAATTTTGAATCTTGATTCTGCCATCTGTTATATTAGCAATTCCTCCAGCCTCGTGTCATCTGAGACGTACTAAGCATGTCTCCTATTTCATCCAAGTCATTGATTAAAATGTTCAACAGGACAGGACTTCCCTCCAGATTGACATTGATCCATGAATCAATATCCTTTGGGCATGGAATCTCAACAAGCCATGAATCCAAATGACCCTGCCACCTGTCTTATTCTGTTTTATACGTAGCAGTGTGTCTATTTGTTCTTAAATTGAGGAAAGAGGAGAGGCAGGGACCAAAGGCGACTGGGCTGCATTAATGCAAAGGAAGTGAAAGCAGCTGGAGGAAGGCGGTCTATTAGCTGCAGACAACGGAACCCCAACCCAACCAATTTAAGCAAAACAAAAACAACAAGGAAAAACAAGCAGAAAGATTCATGAAGGTGAATTTCTGAGTACATTTAATTGAGCAGCTCAGGAATAGACATGTCTCTAGGCAAATCTTTGTCTAGGTCTCAAACTGGTGCACAGGCCCGTTTCTCTCCGGTTCTTGGCTGTTCTCTCTTATATTGGCTCCATCCTCCATCCTGCTCTCTGTTCAAAGCCCCAAGAAGCCTGTCAAGAGTGTCTGGGACTACACACTTCCTTGCTGGTAACCAATGGAGAAGAGAGGGTCTGCAGCCTAAATTTCCCAGCCAGAGTCATGAGGGTCACTCTGATGGGAATACTTAGGTCACCGTCCTTTCTAGAACCAACTCTTGCAGCAAAGGGAATGGGGGCCTTAATAGGGTTACCCAATCAGACTGTAGCCCTAAGTCAATCACGCTCAAGTCACATGACTGAAAACCTGGGAAAGTGACGTCTCAAAGGAAGCTTAGCATGCTATACCAGGAAGGCATTAGAGGGAAGCTCAGCACTCTGGTCTCGGTAAACGAGAAAGCACATCAAATTAAAGACTCGAAGCATCCAAAGAGTGCCCAGCAGTGTAGCAGATATGGCAGAGGCTAGAAGACGGGGCAGAAGCTGTAAGAGACAGAAATTATGACCCTCACCTTGCAGGAATTTAATCGCCAATTGAGAAACAATGTCTATGAAACAGTATCTCCCTTCCAACCACAGGCCTGCAGGGCAATAGAAGGCAGCAGATAATCAGGTCTAGAACGTGTGGTGTCACTTAGAGAACCACGGGGCCATAGGAGTCTGTCCCACCAGCTATAACCATAGTCATATCTGGTTATGTTAATCTGCCAGGAGGACACAGCAAGTGTTTCCATTCAAAGGCCCTCGTGCATGCACCCTTTACCTCTGGCACGGCCTTATCTGGCCAAGACCTCATGGAGGGTGTTGTTGTCTCACCAAACCCAGGCCTCCTTCAATCCCCCAGCCTGGGAGCAGGTCTTCTCCTCCCAGAGGACCACATATTAGGTCGGGCGAGGTGGCTCACGTCTGTAATCCCAGCACTTTGGGAAGCTGAGGTCGGTGGATCACCTGAGGTCAGGAGTTCGAGACCAGCCTGACCAACATAGTGAAACCCCATCTCTACTAAAAATACAAAATTAGCTGGGTGTGGTGGCTATAATCCCAGCTACTCAGGAGGCTGAGGCAGGAGAATTGCTTGAACTCGGGAGGCAGAGGTTGCAGTGAGCAAAGAGCACACCATTGCACTCCAACCTGGGCAATAAGAGCAAAACTTGGACACACACACACATACACGAAAAGGACCTCATGTAATTATGGGGCTGTACAGAGAATGTTGCAAGGCACTGAGACCCCTCGGACAAACAAACAGATTATAGCTGGTCGAATTTTTCAAAGTTTCATGTGCATAAAGCCAGATGGGAAGACGGCTTAGAATGCATGTTCCACAGTCCTGACCTCAGGGGTTCCGATTCCATAAGTCTGGGCTGGGGCCCAAGAACCTGCATTTTATTTTATTTTATTTTTATTTTTTTGAGATTTATTTATTTATTTTTTTTGAGTTTCACTTTATTGTCCAGGCTGGAGTGCAGCGGTGCAATTCTGGCTCACAGCAACCTCCACCTCCTGAGGAACCACATTTTAAATAAATGTTTCCAGTGATTCTGATGCAGGTGGTACCTGGTTCCACCTTAAGACAGCCTTAGACTCTCACAGGCTCAGATCCCTCTTCCAAGAAAAAAAGCAGGAGCCAAAGCTCTCCTAAGCCAGGCAAGCCCCCAAGGTGATTTTCTTTCTGTACATAACAGCTGGGGGTAACAGTCTCTGAAAAATGGGAATATCTGTAGCTGTCTTTTTTAAAACGTACATTTTGGTAGTCACAATAACGTTGCTTTGCACACCCACTCAATGAATATTGGTGGATTTTTTTTTCTTTCCTTTCTTTCCTTCTTTTATTTTTTTATTTTATTTTATTTTTTACTATAATCAGAGCTCTGTTAATATGGGCCATCTGTCAGGACATGGAAATGCAGATTAGATGTTCACACATTAGATATTTTCCTGAAAATATTCCTGAAAATTTGCATGTAAAGTATGACTTGTTATAATTTTCCTGCTGGTTTCCATTCAACAAATATTTCTTGAGTGCCAGTTAATGCCAGACTCTGGGGCTCCAGCCCTACGCACGAGGGTGTTCTGACCTAGCTCTTCTGTGACATCCTGTAGAGCATCCCCAGGCCCCATTAGATGGCCTTCCCTTGTTTTTGTCAATGAGATTGCTTAATTTGAGGTCTAGAGTTTCTTCTCCCCAAGCCATTTCTTTCATAGCAATGTACCATGAGAATCTGACAAAAGCTACATCCCTCCCTCCAAGAAAGAGAACAGATATGTGTGTGACATCAGTTCAGACTCTTCTGTGGACAGTGATAGAAAATCCAGTCCAGATTGGCTCAGGGAGCTTACCCTATAACTGAAAACTCCAGAGGGCAGAGCTGCCTTCAGGCATGGCTTGATGCAGGGGCTCAACCCCGTCCCTGGGACACAGGTTGTTCCCTCTCCCCATCTGGCGGCTCCAGTAGCTCTTGGCATACCACCTTCTCAGGCAGATCTCCCATAGGGGTTTCAAGACAGCTGTGTAACCAGTGTTTTGAACAGTCTGAACTCAGTGAAGTACCAACTTGAAATCATTCGGTGGTTTTTTTCCATGTATTTCCTTTAAATGTGCTCTGATGAATCTCCTTTTCCTGTCCGTGATGATGCCTGGCACAGATCTTAATGATTTCTGTTCATTTCTGGGCGCATTAAAAAGTCCAGGCCAGTCTGGTTCAGATGAAAACTCCAGTCTCAAACCCAGTCAGTGCTCTTCTGTTCTCTTAGCTCAGGCCAACCTGTGGCCTGAGGATGTTGCCCTGGAGAGGAGTGGCCTGTTTTTTCCCCTCATTCTACTCCTTCCCCACCCCTGTTGGGCCCCTTTCTCCTCCAGGGGTGGAGCCTGTGAACAGATCCCCAAATCCTACCTACCTGGGGCTGCCCTCAGTGCCTCCCCCGAGAGGCTTCTGATGTGAGATAGTTGCAAGATGTATTCAAAGGACTCCCAGGTCTGATGTCCTCACTGCATAACTCCCTGCCAGGGAGACCGTCATCAGCTACCACCACCAGCTCCTGCCCCAAGGCAGCTAGGTGGAG